CAGGAATGGCTCAATTCCCACTACAGACATTCCTAGCAGCCTTTCTCATTACCGCTAGCACCAAAATGACGTAGAAGAGGAGGTGGGATTTTCCACAGAGACAGCAGTTGCTGCTCAGTGATGTTGCTGGGCGCCTGGACCAGCTGGATTCAGAGGAGCAGCCTGGAAGTCGTGCCAGCCCCAGGATGCCTGGCCACCATCAGACAGCCCTGCCTGGCCCACCCTGGCCCAGAGGGTGGAGGGGCTGATGCTCTGTGTCAGCCCACGTGATGCTCTCAGCAAAACAACAGGCAAACGTGCCCTGAACGCAGCCGGCGCAACCCAATGTTTGGAAAGACTAGCTCACTGTCAAAGGGGCAGGCATTGCAAAAATGATTCCACATGGCTCCGTCCTGAGCTCGATGCCATTAAACTGTTTCACGATCTGGATGAGGAATAGAGAGCGTACTTATAAGATTTCTGGAATATGCTAAACTGGAGAGATTTCAACCACCTTGGAGTACTGGATTAGACTGCAGTTTCAATAAAAGAGAGAAGCTGTCCAAAATCTTCAGGATGCATTTTAACCAAGGCCAGAGCGAAGTACAACACTCAGGAGAACTGGAAAACATGAGTACAAAATGGGGCCAGGCAGAAGCACTGCAGAAAGAGCTTGAGGACTGCAAAGGATCACTGTGCCTGAGCCAACAGCATGACAGGAATAGAAATGATCAGATCGATTTCAAGAGAAACAGATTTATCTTTGACCAACTTTCTAATGATAATGAAATATGAGCCCTGGATGAAGCTACCTGAAGAGACCAAAGGGTCTTTGTGACTGGCAGTTTTTAAGGAAAGGCCGGAAGACCGCCTGTCAGACAAGACCTGGGCTACCTGACCCTCCCTCCGCACAGGCACAGGCACTCGCAGTTGCTCATGGTCCCTCTAGCCCTGCCTTCCTGTGAGCTGCAGGTGCCTGTTTATGACTGAAGCCCCCCAGGGTAGACTGCAACCGATCAAGCTCAGGTCCACAAAGAAGCCAACGTACGTCAGCTGAGCTGTGATGACCGTCTGCTCTTCGCTCCTGACAAAGACCAGGCACTGCAACTTGGGAGAAGCCCTTTCAATGAGATTTGGGTAGAGAGGCACCACCAGCCAGTACCCGCAGTTCAGACGGCAGTGAGAACACTGCTGTGCCATGTTTCCTTGACGGTCATTTTATATCCAATGGCTACGTAGTTCAGCTGTGCTATTCCTAATCCCTTGTCAGCAAGTGGGTAGTATCTGGAACAGAGCTGTGGGTTCTCCAGGGGACCCTGTGGTCTGACCTCATCCACAGAGCAGGCCAACAATTTTGCCTTGTGATTCCTGCATCAGATCTTTTTAAAAACAGCCTGGTCGGGCTTTCTTTCTTTCCCCTTCTGTGGGGCCGTTCAGCAGTACCAACATCCAGGAGACCTCAATGGAGCACAAGGTGGGTGTTCTGGAGAGGCCGTGATGAGCGCTGAGCTTGGCAGTCGCCTGCGGCTGGTCCTCGGAGGGGTCAGCGTACGTAAGCAGTGCCGTCTCTCAAGGCTCGGGTCAGCCGTGTGCTGCCCTCCCTGAGCACGCACCCATCGCCTCACCGCCCTCTGCAGGGAGGTGGACACGGGCAGGGGTGCCCGTCAAGGCAGGACTGACAGCTCAAAGCTGCTGCCTGCTGCCGCTGCTCGCTTGTGGGCTGGGAGGTCAGCACCGCCAACCTGTGTTACGTGGGGCTGCTTAATAGCCCAGAGCAACACCGACACAGAATTATTTCTGAAGTTTATTGTATTGAATTACCTAGGACTGATGTTTTGTGGGATTACATAAGTGAAAACACAGGAACGGATCTCCTCTAGAGTTGTCTGGATTTATAAATAGATTTATTGCTCCTCTTTGAAGTTCAGAACATACAGCCATTCATTCGGCCTCAGGCTCAAGCAGCTATCCTTCCCAGGCCAAAAGGCTGTGTTGCACTTAATTATTTGTTAACAGGTTTAAAGGCCGTGCTTCAGATGACAGAGTATTTCAAATTAACAGCAAAGGTAATTGTGCCAAGCATTGCTGTTCTCTGACTGCACCTGCTCAAAGAGGCTCGCTGGCTCTCCCGGACTGTACCAAACTCCTAGCATGAGCTTGGTCTAGGGAGTAGAAATTGAATTCCCCAGTGCTGCTCTCTGGGGTTTATGGCAGCCCCTCTTAAAAACAAACATGTTGCAAGACCCAGCTGATGAAAGCTGAAGTCAGCAGTCCAAACCAAAAATGTTCAGCAAATAAGGCTCAGGGTAATAACTACTGTTAGAAATTACTGAAGATGATGGAAGACTGTCTTCATATTTAACATACTAGATTTTCAAAACTGGCTTATTAGAAAGACCATAAAACCAAAGTCCTCCGCCTTCCCTTAGTAGTATTGACACGTATCAATCGGTTGAATGTTCAAGTGTCCGTCTTTGAGATCAAGCATCTATAAGGGACGCTGCCTTAGAGAAAGGCAGAAGACAGGCAGAGGGCTTGAGAGGCAGGCAAGGAAAATCTTAGGGTTTGTTCTGCAGTACGTCAGAACAAATGGTGACGTGAATTGTCTCTCTAGACCCAAACCGTATTCATGCCAGTGGGCTGTTTGGCCCTATGGATACAGTCACAGGACAGGAACAAGTAATTCCGGTAATTTATCCTTTCCTGCTTACATGCACCTTCCCACAAAGCTTTGCTGCAGGAAAATGCTTGCCTTGAAA